GCAGCCGAGGAAGCCCATTCGCCAGCGTCGCAAGCGCTGACCATCGTGCAGACACGGTCTGTCTCATACACGTGCGTCGGCGTGGGTGCTTCTGGTAGTTGCGGAGGCTGACTTTCGTAGGTGGTGCCAAGCACGCAATTGGTAAGACTGGCACAGGTGCGATCCGTGGTGGCGGTGGGCGAGGCAACGAGATATTCCGTCGCTGTGCAATTGCGCCTCGCCTCGCAGACAATATCAGAGGTGGGAGTAGCTGGAGCGGTTCGATATTGATGACTACCACACCCTGATGACACGTTCTGACAGCGGCGATCGGTGGTGGCGGTGGGAGCAGCGACCTGAAATTGCTGGCTTTGGCAGATTGTCAGCTGCGCGCACACGCGATCAGTGCTCGCGGTGGCGTCTGCATACTGAAACTGGCCCGTTTGGCATTCGGTCACCATACGACAAAGAGCATCAGAGGTTGGCGTAGCTGCCGTTGCCTCGTAGCGTTCCCGCAGGATCGGGTTGCCATCGGGATCCACATCGGCGATTGGCTGACTGCAGTCGGCAATGGGCAGACAGACCCGATCGGTGGTGGCCGTGGGGGCACGTCGCTCATACTGTGTTTCGCGGCACTCGCGCAAACTCTGGCAAGCACGGTCCGTGGTAGAGGTTGGTGCGTTGATCTGGAATTGGGTGCTGGAACACGTGCTCAAAGTTTGACAGCGGCGGTTGGACGTGGCAGTGGGGGCCGCTTGTTGGTACTGGGTGGCTGCACAAGCTGTGACCGTCCGACAAACGGTGTTTGCGGTGGGAGTTGCGGCCATGGCCATATATTCGCGACTTGGCACTTGGCGAATGGGACATTGGCTCTGTGTGGCATAAACGTTGCAGGGGGCGTTCTCGGTGGCTGCGAGACACACGTTGGAGCTGGGGTCATACTGACAGGGAGCTGGACAGTGATCGGCGCCTGCCCCAGAAAATTCGCGACAAGGTAAGGCACCTTCCTCATAACACAGGCTCTTGCCGCTGTGGTACGAGCAGTATCCAGTTGCGAGACAGGAGTCTTGCTGAAGACTGTAGCGCTGGCACGGGACCAGACTTCCCGCGCGCTGGCAGTAGCCAACGCTGGCAACCCATTCACAGATGCCGTTGGCAAAACTGGTGCAAGACTGGCTATTGTAATTGTCTGGACAGGTCTTCTGACGACAAGCGTACGACGCCGGGTCATAGGTGCAAATCGATGCCCCGACACACTGATCGCGCGGCAAAAAGGGGCAGGGGTCGGTTGCTGTTGAGGGAATTGCCTGGCTCTTGATATCGCAGTGCCCATTTGCGAACTCACATCTGTCATGCGCATGCACACACGCACGCAATGAAGTCAAGCCGGCGAAAATATGAGTTGGCCCAAGTCAGTCAGTCCATGGACAGAGCTGCCACGCATGGTCGGGTCAAGCACGCATGCGGACACAAAGGACCTACCGCGTTGTCGGACATGTTGCAGCAGACGCAAAGGCGCCGCAGGGTGTTTGGCTGCTGGCAGGCCAGCATCGAGCGCTGGCGCTCGCGTTGGCATCCCAGCGGCAGCGTCCAGCACAGTCAGCCGCGCTTCGACACTGACGGTTCGTGGTTGTGGTGCAAGCCGCCACCTCATATAAGCCTATAGAAAAATGCAAAAAAAAAAAAAGAAGAAGAAGAAGAAGAAGAAGCAAACAGCAAAAAGCAAACAGCAAAAAGCAAAAAGCAAAAAGCAAAAACAGCAAAAAGCAAACAGCAAAAAGCAAACAGCAAAAAGCAAACAGCAAAAAGCAAAAAGCAAAAAGCAAAAACAGCAACATGAGCAAAAGGGGCAGAAGAAAGGGGCAAAAGAAGCCATGCAAGACGGCACTAACGCGTACTCGCACAAACACCAACACCCAAAACAACAACGCACCTTCTTCGCAGGTTGAGCAGGTTCGGCAAACGCGATCGCGCGCCTGTTGCGGGGCTTGATACTGAAACTGGTCAGCTCCGCAAACTGTGAGGTTGGTACAAATTACGTTACTGGTGGCCGTTGCGGCTGAAGATTCGTATTGATGGACGGCACATGCTCCCACTCGAGCACAACGGCGATCAGTCGTCGGAGTGGGTGCCACCAGCTGATAGAAACCCGATCCACAGGCAGTGGTGGCCCGGCACACCCGATCCGTAGAAGCAGTGCATGTCGCAACCTGGTACTGATCAGCCGCACAAGTGGTACAAGCTGTGACGAGTGTTGAACGGCAACAGGTGAGTTGGATCGACCACCAACGCATGGCTTTGCAGCTGGAGAACACGGAAAGGAACCGAGGATCTTTTCAGGGCTTTGTCGAGTCTTTTTTGGGCAGAGGCGGAAGGACTAACCGGTACAGCGCATGTCTGCGGTGGGGGTGCACGGCGCTTCGCGAAACTCGCCCGGCTCACATGCAATGCGGCAGCTCACACACTCAGTATCAGTCGTTTCGTTGCAGGCCTGAAGAATAAACTGGTCGGTCGCACACTCCGAGCAGGGGGCGCATAGGCGATTGGACGAGCTCGTGCAGGGCTCAACCTGAAGACACGTGTGTTTGCACAAAGTTTACGTGAGTCGACGCTGAGAAGGTCGCCATGCGCTTGAGGCTCCATTAAATGTCATGCAAACGGGGAGGGGGCGTGCAAAAGGTTACCTCAAAGGCCGAAATTCCGTCGCAACGAGGGTGACATGCGGCACAAGCCCGGTCTGTTGTGAGGGTACAGGGTTGTAGTTGGTACTCGGCAGTGGAGCAGGAGAGACAGGCAGAACACTCGCGATCGGTGGTTGGGGTGGGCCCGTCGCTTTCATAGGTGAAACCTACATAAGTTGATTGGCATAAGGAAGGGGCGGCGGGAGAACAGGTTGAGCACAAGTTTTCTGAGCCCAAGATTTAGCCGCTACCGGCCGCGGCGTGCAAGTTATAATAATAATGGGCCACTAATTACCTTGTGCGCAGCTGGACACGTCTGAGCACACACGGTTGGTTGAAAAGGTGGCTGGCGTCGATTCAAACTCGACCTCAACATTTTCATCGCAGACAGTGAGCGAGGCGCATGCACGGTCAGAGGTCCAGGTGGGCGCCACTGCCTCATATTCGGGGTTGGGCAGTGCTGGAACAGAGGCCGAGGCCGGCAAGCAAAAGTAACCCCGACCCGGCAAGATACGCGGGGAAAAGCCATTGGAGCAGAGGGCGACGCAGGAGGTTGAGGTATCGTTGACCACCTGAAGAAAAGGTTTGGTGCTGGACGTGTTGCAGGCCAGGCATAGCCCGAGAGCGGTGCTTGAAATGGTAGCTGGCGTGTGGCTATCCTGACCCACGAGCTGCGTGGAGCAGGCCGTGCACTCCTGCTGAACGCATGCACATGGCTCGCGGGTTAAGACGTCCTGGCTTTCCAGGCAGACACCTGAGCACGGAGAGGTGATGTCCTGGCACTGACGGTCCGAGCTCAGGGTCGCAGCCGACGTTTCAAACTGATGATCGGTGCAAACGGTCAGGGTTTGACAGGTATTATCGGAGAGATCATCCCCAAATGCTGCGATATAGCCATTTGGTTGGCAGTCTGTATGCTCCTGACAGACAGTGTCCGAGGTGGCGGTGGCGCCCGCCTTGAGGAAGGTGTCTGCAGGACACACCGACGTCACGGGGCTGCATACGCGCTGGGAACTGCTGGTGGGGGCCAGCTGCTCGTACTCGAGTTCCAGGGGCTGCGCGGGGACGGCCTGCGTGCCATTGCGCAAGCAAACGCGACCGACCGATGCAGTGCCGGCCGGTGTGGTACCCGATGGGCAGGATGCACGGCAGATGCCCTCGTAGAGGTATTGACTAGCGCCACAGAGCTGACACTCGACCACGTCAGCGTTGGCATCAAACAGGCATGTCTAGAAAAGGTGAGAAGACGACGTGAATGGACAGGGAGTGTGACAAGACCAAGCCGGCGCGAGCAGAGCAGAAGCGCATGCATGCCATCAAACCTGACAGGTGGCGCTTTGGCACGAGCATTCGGGGTCGCTGCTGCCTGTACATTGTGTCACACAGCTGATGACATTGACGCACTGTTCGACATTCACGTCAAAATACTGATCATCAGCACAGGCAGGTGCACAAACGACCGCGCCGTCTTGTTGTGCCGACTCATACTGCCCAGCAGAGAGACGCGCAAGCAAACGGTAAGGCAAGGCTGCATGAGGTGTGCGAGGGAAGGATTGCGGTTCGGCCAGGTGTACTGTTCCAAGAAAAGAAAAGAAAAAAAAACCTGATTCATAATGCGCAAGCTGCGGGGCGGCAGAGCCACAAGACTGACCTCGAACGATCCTGGATTGCAATCAAGCGCAAAAGCCATGGCGGCAAGCTGGCTTAGAATAATGGCATGCAGAATGCCGCCAAAGGCTGAGGTTTGACGGCCTGTACACAACATCATGACGCTATCTGCTCAAATGAGACCAGAGGCGGGGCGACCGCGGCGGCCGCGGCGCTCGCGGCGGTCGGGAGAGGGTTGAAACTTGACAAGGGTTTCCCGACGAAAAGAAACTGTATATGCTCGAGGCAGCTTGAAGAGATGAAGATGGCTGATCGTATGGCGGTCTATGGTACGGGTCGTCGGTACGTGTGCTGAGCGCAGCCTCAAGGACGAGAGGGGAAGGGGACGATTTGAAACGGCGAGGGATGGGCGCAAACCGGTTGCCGGGAGTAGACATGGTCAACGAGACATACTATGTTGGTTTTGGGCACTTACGCCTGCCACACTGTGCAGACCACCTCTCGACCGGCGAGCCGATGGGCAACTAGTGCACGGCGGGCCACCAAAAGAGAGAAAAAAAAAACCACTCGGGCAAAGCTGGTACGGTTCGCTGGTCGAGCCGTTCGCGTTGAATGTCCCCGCCCCCCTTTCTTTCCCCCTTGTCGTGCTGTGTGCTGCTTTGTTCTTCAACGACAACGTCGTCAGATGCGAGAGCTGCACACAGTCTGTTCATCATAGCGATTGTTCTCATCATGCTTACATGCATGCAAAATCAATTTGGCTTGCAAGCCAAAATGAACACGACAAGTAAACCTTCACTGACTTCGCTTCCCGCATCTGCCCCCATCCTTTCTTCACCTTTTTTCACCTTGCACTCTCTCTCTCTTTCTCTCTCTCTCTCTTTCTCTCTCTCTCTCTTTCTCTCTCAACTCTCTCTTACTCTCTCTCTAAATCCCTCTTTAAATCTCTCTCTCATACTCTCTCTCACTCACTCTCTCTCTCGCTCTCTCTCTCTCTCACATTTCATTGAGAAGGTGGTCGCAGCAGCAGCAGCAGCAGGAGGTGAGCCGATGTGCGCGGCAATGAGTGGCAGAGAGCATCTGCTCTCCCCTCTCTTCGTATGACCTGAGCCTTGGGGACAGTGCTGGCGGGGCACCTTGGCAAGCAGTGTCATTGTCCTGCCTGCTCACACACACCCCTACCTCTCTCCTTCTGTTTCCCTTGGTTTTTCTCTCTGTTGTTCTCCTTCCATCCCTGCAATCGACGCACACTGTCCAACCTCAACGTGCTGTCCGGTGGCCCTGATGTTCGCGTCTAGCAGAGCCTGGCAGGGAGCTTGCATACTTGGCTTACTATCAATACACCTGCAAGATGACGACGTGCTTTGATCAAGTCAAGGTGAGCCCCACCGGTGCTAGACCACCTCTGTTCTCTGGTCCAGCTCGAGGTTGGCCATTCTCTTCCCATGTCCATGGCCTCTCCTCATTTCAAATTGCTATAGGGTGGCTTTGTGGTTGGTGGAGCTCTGGGCCTTGCAGCTGGTGGTGTTTATGGCACCCTGACCTGCATGAGGTTTGTTTTGTTTGTTGTTCTTTTTTCCTCCCTCTTCCCTCTTCCTTCTTCCCTCTTCCCCTCCTTCTTCCTTCTTCCTTCTCCCTTCTCCCTTCTCCCTTCTTCCTTCTTCCTTCTTCCCTCTCCCGCCTTTCGTCCATCCGCTCGTCGTTCTTCCTCTTCTTTCTCCTCCTCCTCCTCCTCCTCCTCCTCCTCTTCAGGGCAGCTCGCTTTGTGCTGCCCGACTGGCCTGCTTTTGCCCTCTTCATCATTGGCCTCCTTTGAAAGCACAACTCACGGTGCTTGCTTGGTCCTTGTTGACGCGACAGTGCTGGCTACCGCGGCCGCAAGTTGCTGCGCGGCACGGCCCTCCAGATGCTAACCTTTGGTGCGTGGCCTTTTTCATTTAAACCGCATGCACTTTGCCTGCCCTGGCCGCTGCCCCCATGTTGCCAGTCTTATGGTAACCCATTCTCATCCCTCATTGGCCCTGAAACAGGCGCCACCTTTGGTTTCTTTCTGGCTGTCGGCACGGGCATCCGTTGCGAGGAGGCGACTCCAGCGCAACCTCTTCCACTCGCGCTGCAGCACCGTCGTGCTCCAGTTGCCGGTTCCATCTCGACAGTCAACCCCTTCGCCTCAGCCGTGCAACAATAATTGGATTCTCAAACTGACATATACATGCCTCATCCCCCGAGGCCACGTGCATCAGCCGACCACATGATGGTCGCCATGATAGTCACCTAGGCCAAGACCTGGCAAAGGTCAACACGCCCGCTTCTTTCTTATCATAAAACCTGCAACCCTCTGCCTGGCTTGACATGGCGCAGGATGGAGCACTCTTTTGCCCCTACGCTGGGCCTCCTTCAGATGGTTTGGCTTCCAAAGCAAGAGAGGAAGGCGGATGCACATGGATTGTGGATTTAATAGTACATTAGTGGGAAGCACATGCCTTTGAGACTTCGTTGAGCACGTCGGTCAGCGTGATGACACCGCAGACCCGGACTTGGTCGTTGAGAACGTAGAGGCGACGCAGGCGATTTTCAGCCAGCATGCTAATGACCTTGCTCAGCTTGGTGTAGCCATGGCACACGCCCGACTACGCATTCACAACAATGAAAATGAGTGCCATGCTTGAGAAGCACAGTCAAAGAGAACAAACGGCCGGGCCTTGACGGGCGTTCTCTTCAATCAGGGGCCAAGTCGTACCAAGTGGCTGCTGTTGCGATCCTTGAGCTTACGCTCCAAGAACTCCTCTGTTGTCATGAGGAGGCGCATAACACCGTTCATATCCAGACCCTACATGGCCCCAATCAAGCGAGTGGATAAGGGTGGGGGTGAGGGTTACGGGGGAGAGTTTTCACCGTTGGCTTTCTTTTTTCTATCCGCATTGAGGAAGGACCAGCAATAATAAAAAAAGGGAATGATGACGGCAACATACGCGCAGGTCTTGCTCGCCGAGATCGGAAACAAACTTGCCAGCCTCGTCCACCACGGCAACGGCTTTGTTGTGTTTACCAAACATGAAAAATAAGCAGAGGAGGAAAAGATGTAATACAAAGCAATGCGTGCACATGTTCATAACAGACCGCGTCAACACGCGTAAGGTTTGCACCCGGATCCATGTTTGCAACGGTGCATGCAAGCCCCCCTCCCCTCCAATGCAAATGCAAAACGTTGGTCGAGAACATACCACTCAGCTGCTGGTCAAACATGGTGTGGAAGGCGTCGGCAGTGATGGTCTTGGTGGTGACCGTGACCACGGGTCCGTGCGCGTAGCCGAGTTCCCGCACCGTCATGTCACCAAGCTTTCCCAGCTTGTCCGAGTGCTTGTGCAGGAAGGCAATAATATCCGACTAGAAGCCAAGATGGCAGATGGGATGGAGATGGGATGGCAGCCCCGGCACGGGGAAAGGGGCCAGGTTTGTGAGATCAACGGCAAGTTGGTAGTTCACATCAACAGCGCACACGGCTCGCTGCCATGTTGGACATGCGTTTGTCGGGTGATACTTACCATCGTGAGCATGTTGGTAATTTCACCGCGAGTGTTGAAAAGGGCAATGCGATGGTGCACCTCATGCTGCACGTTGGGGTGTCGGCTCGAGCCTACGAGCAGCGATGCAGGGTCAATGAGACGAGGTCAGGGCGAGTAGCCATGCTAAAGTTCAAAATGAGCTGACGATCGGGCAGGTTGGGCTGTACCGTGGCCCAGGAAAGAGTCGTTGATAATCTCCAGGAGAGAGTCATTGCTGCTGCCACGATACTTGAGGTCCACGTCGTGGCCGGTGATGGTGATGGCCGTGCGGTCGAGGCATTCAGGGGCTTGTTGCTCCAGCTTGATCCATTTATCCAGGGGCCGGGCTTCGGCCTCGACATGGTCGATGACATCTACGGTAAACCGGCAGGAAAGACATGAGCAGCTAGTATTGAGCACCGGCGAGTCACAGGCTGAGTCAATGACGCACCGCGGATGATGGTGTAAAGGATGGAGCGGACGTCAATGAGGCCCATGTAGGTATCGCTGCTCTCGTCCTCGGCAGCCAAGACCTCGACGGGGGCTGACAGAATGTCGCGCTCCGCAAACTCCTGCAGCACTGCAAACCGGAAAACCATTGGGCCAACAGCAGGCAAAGGGACATCAGTCCGGATCGACCGGGGTCAAACGCGCGCGTGCAAGGACGCAAGGATGGGAGAGCAAACGAGGCGGCCGCACCATTGATGAGCTTGGTGTTGTGGGTCACGGTGAAAACCGATTTCTTGGCCTTGAGCAGGTCCTGCACATGGGCACTCTCCATTAACTTGACCAGAGGCTGCACAGTCACCGCACCTTGATGAGCTGTGGCGAACAGTCTGGCCACAACCGGCCTCGTCGCGTGTGATGGTGGCGGGGTCTCTGGGCATGACTACGCAACGGCTTGACCTACATCGGCTTGCTCTTTGTGCTGGCGCTTGGCCCTAGTCTCTGCCATGCTTGCGGTAGGTGTATGGACCTTTTCCAAATGGGGTCGCTTCTCCCGTGGTGAGAACTGTCAGCCCAGGATCAAGAAGGGGTCAGTGCCACTGGCCCACACGCACACAAACAAACGCACACTGTGACCGGGCACGGACACACCTTGGCGGTATAAATGGCTTGCCAAATTGCTTCTCTGGACAGCAGCGGTGTGACAGCAAAAGACCAGGTCCACCACTCGAGCAGACGGGCACAGCAACAGCAGTCTGAAGACGTCCTCGAGGGGCCAGGGCGAGCTGGGGAAGAAACTGAGCGAGTCACTGACCCCAGCGTGTGAGTCGTGGGCAAGGGCTCCACGACAAGGTCGACTTGTTGCTGCTATTCTTTGAGATATTGCAGTTTTCATATGTATATCTCCGATAGTTCTAGTAATGTTTACACAGGTTTATGCCGATGGCAAGATGCGCTGGTGATTGCATACCGCCCACGACACTTGAGGTGAGTGGTAAAGTATTTTACTTTTCACTTTTGTTTCGGAAAGCGTGCATGCTTGCAGATTTGTGGCGGGTGTTGTGGCACTGCACCCTCTGCATGAGAGGCCACAAGGGCAGCTCTTGCGTCCGCTGCAATGACAAGCCCGTCTCGTCACGCCTTGTTGTTCAGCGCAGGGTCAAGCTTGACTCGTCCTTTGCCACATGAAGAAAATGGCCAGCTGTTAACGTGCGAGTCACTTGAATCTTTTTCCTCTCTCTGTCAAGCCTCCATCTCCCCGAGGTGGCGTTTTCAAAAAAATCAAGAGAACGAGGCTTGGAAGCCGGCGTGTCATTCTGAACCTCTCCCTTCCCCTCCTCGCCCGTGTGCGCGCTGAGACTGGGGTCCACTTGAAGTGACTTGACTTGACACCAGGACCACGTCTGCGCGCACGCACACTTGCCAGATCAAATAAGGACCACCCGCTCCGCTGAACCACCACACTCCACCCGTCATCACCTCTGCACACACGCTCTCTCCTCTCTCTCCCTCATTCATTCTCTTCAAATTCTCTACAAGCGCCTGCAGTCTGTTTTCTCTTCTCCCGCTCTAAGCGGGGCCCAGAAGCCTTGCGCCGCACACCAAACATCGGCCCTGCTAGGACCTAGGCCAGAAGAATGGCAGGTCCCGCGGCCACTCGTGACCTGCGGCCTTGGCTAGCCGGTCTGGCTGCCATGGCCTTTTTGGCTCTGGTACTCTCGGCGCATCGTGCAAGTCAAGATCCCAACCCCAACCTGAGTAACAGTGCGACCCCACTTCGGCGTGTGGCCCTCGGCCTTGACGATACAGGCGACCTTCTCCCTGAGGCAGGGGGTGCCGTTGCACCACCACCACGCGTTGCCTTTGTTGACAAGCAGCACCACTATCATGACCCAGCCCTGGATGGTCCCTGGGCCGCTCGCCTCGATATTCGTCCCGAAACCTCGCTCTGTGCCGTCTCTGCGGCTGCCATGACCGAACCGCAGGCCCCACACCGTGTCGGACGAGCTCCCACACCGACAATCCACCTCCGCACTCGCTCAGTCTTTGAGGTCCTCGACGGCCGCGCGAACACGTGCGCCTCTCCATGGCGTGTCGACGCCGGCATCTGCTTTGTACGCTACCGAGCCACCCCAAACGAACAAGTGGCCTGCCTCCCTTCCTTTATCATTGTTGGAGCCATGAAAGCTGGTACAGCTGAAGCTCAGGGCTGGCTTGGCATCCACCCCAACCTTTACCGCTGGAAGGGTCTTGTCGACTCGGGAGCTGGCGAAGCCAAGTTCTTCAGCACTACCCGTACGTGCAGCTCTCTTGCCCACCCACCGCGCACTCTCACACTTGACCACGCCTCATCGCCCTCACCCAAGCATCATTTCTTCCAACCTCGCCATTGCCCGCTGCACTTGGTCCATGATCGCAGACAGCAAGGCACAGCTTGAGACCCGCTGGCAATCCGACTATTTGTGGCCCGGGTTTTCCTTACCCCAGCCTTCGGCCGCCCGAGACATGTACACGTTCGAAAAGACCCCGCGCTACATGGTGCTCGACGACCCCCATCTGATTCGCATGCACGAGATGCTGCCTTCACTCAAACTCGTGGCGCTTCTTCGTCACCCAAGCGCCCGCGCCTACAGCCACTTTCAGCACCGCTGCCGCCGCGGCACAGTCTTTCGCTGCCAGCGGCCCGGCCACCCGCTCCACAACCACGTCTTTGATGCTGGGGATTTACCCCAGTCCCTCGCAGCGCTGGCCCGACGCCTGGGCCAAAGCCTATCACCCCGCGACTTTGTTCGTGTGCCCCATCCCTGCACCCCTGCCCATTTTGAGGAGATCGTGACCACGTTTCCAAACGGAACACGATCCAACCGCATCCTGTACCAGGCCGCTGAGGGTGGCGCACTTCGCCGAGGCCATTACGCTATGCAGCTTCGCCGACTTTACCAGTACTATCGATCTGAGGACGTTCTGGTCCTTTTGACGGAAGAAATGTTCCAGGACTTTGTTGGCGCTGCGCACGAAATGCAGCGCTTCATGGGCCTTCCTTTCTTCAACTACACGCACCACACACATGTCAATGAGCGCGGGTTTACCGTGCTCAATGATCTTGCCTCTAAGACTGACAAAGCGGGCTATGAGCCCCTTGGCGATGCCTTTCGTGCTCGTCTTGATAACTTCTTTTTGCCCTGGAGCCGCCAACTTATTCCCATCGTGGGCCAGGCCCGGCTAGAGCGCTACTGGAAAATTCAACTCTGAGTCAATTCGAGGCGACGGCATGCCTCATTAGATACAGTCCGATGGGTTGCATGATGACGCGGCCGCACGAGCCTTGGGCCTGAGCTGAGCTCTACTATTACCCCTTGCATCCGCGCGCCATCTTGACAAATCTCCCATGTTTTGTGTTATGTCTTGTTTGTTTGTCACATCCATGTAAATTGATCCATTTTTTTTTCTTACCCTCTCAAGCTCTCATTATACAACAACAGTTGTTGGTGGAGTTTGAAGCCATCTGGGATGCACTGAAGCCGGGGTCAAGTCGTACGGGAGCCATCTGGACGCGTGCCGGTTTGTTTGGTCATACAAACTTTTTCATTTGCCAGAGCTGGGTTGAGGTGGCGGTGCCACCGTGTGGATGGAGTTGCTACCCACGTGTGTGTTGCCGCCGCCTCCGTGGAGCACCATCGTGGGCTCTGCACTGCGATCCGCGGTGCGTCCACGAGTGGGCTGAGGGGGTAAGGGCTTGCGATACGTCCTCCACTCGGGTTTCTCAGCCGGTGCCGTGTCCTCGAGCCCCTCTCGCAACAGCGAAAGGCAATGTTGATATGCTGCTTTGGTTTGCCGCGTCAAGTCCTTAAAGTTGAGACAGCCATGTGGGATATCCCCCAAGACACTCACGCAATGGCGTGCACCAACCGCTGCAGGTCACCGAGGAATATCAATGCCAACTGTGAGATAGCACGTTCAACGCTTAGCCATGGGCCAAGCCGTTACTTGCACCTCGGCACGGCCAAGTTGGCAAGGACAAGGCCCACCTTTAAGACGGCTTGCAAAGGCCAGGGTGTCATCAAGCAGAGGATCCATGGCCAAGCCAACCAAGTAGGTGACGGGAATCCGCGCTAGCAATGAGTCAGTGGCGCGGAAGGGCGACAAGAAGGGGTTGTCCTGCACTGATTTGTCCTGTTTACCAACGTAGCCAATCAAACATGTCTCCAACACACCCTGACTGAGCAAGCAATCAAAGGACGCAAGCATGCGGGAGCTGGACAAAGCCAGTTTGACGTTGAGTACGGGGTAAAAGGCATATATGGCATCTGGGGCGCGTGCACCCTCCACCAAACAACGGAGGGCCACCGACACGGCTAGGTTGCCACCGGCAGAGTCGCCGGCCACCAGGACCCGGTCTGCCGTGGTACCCAAGAGCGAGGCGTGCTCAAGTGCCCAGACGTAAGCGTAGAAGCACTCCTCTGCCGCCCTGTGATGCGGCATGGTGTGAGAAGTTGACGCAACAAGGATCACGATCACAGGACAACGACAAGCCCCACAAGGTCGAACCGAGGAAACTGGGCCTCGGGTGCCAAGCTGTAATCGACCGAGAGGATGGGCACGTCCAAATCGCGAGCCCAATTACGAAGATACACCTCGTGGCTCTAGCACAATCAATAGGCCGACGGCCGCCAAAAGCGTGAGGGTGGTGCACTGACGGCTTCTGGCTGAAAAGGCTACCGACCACGGTCGAGCGAGCTGCTGTGGATAATTGCACTCACCTTGGATGAATTACTGAGGAAGCCACCTCCGTGAAAGTGCACCAGCAAGCCTTTGGCAGGTGCGATGTTTGTATCCTCTACGACGGGGATGGCGTGCTTGGCTGCCCCCTTCTTGCTCGGCGTGGCCTGACCCGTGTACTTTCTGTGCACGCACAAAGAAAGCAGCGCAACGGGGTATCAAAGATTGGCACAGGACAAAAAAAAAATGGCAAGGTCAGCAGTGTCCACGATTTGCTGCAGCTGAACCATCACGTACTTGGCGCACAGCAGGCGCACTTGAATGGCACCAAAACGAGGAATTCCCTGAAAGGCTGATTCCTCTGCATATTGGTTCAACAAAGGTTGCCCGTGAGGAAGAGTGCGTCAAATCTGCAAAGCGCGACCGTCGGTGGCCCACCTGGAGGCTTGAAGGAGACGCTGGGGACGCGAGAGCCAACGTGAGCCTTGGTAAAAATGGAGACTGCGACATCGCCCACCTCGTCCGGCGAGGTCTCGGGCATGTCCTCCACATCGCGCGAGTCGAGAACAAGCGCGGGAAGGTCGTCGGCATCTGCCTTGGCCGTTGCATCCGATGCTGCGCCTGCCTGAGATGCTGCGGCGTCGGTGTCGCGCCGGTCCAGCTCGTTGGTCACGTCATGGTTCAGAACAGACTCCTCCTGGACGAGTTCACCGACGGTGTCGTCCTGTCGGGCCGCCGGCTGGGTTGAAGCCGTTTGAGCGGACGTGGGAGCTCCTGATATGGTGGCTGCGGCTTGTTGTCTTTTGGCAAGCTCAAACATTTGATAGAGGGTGCTCTCGAGTGCTTCCCGCTCAGCGGGAGAGATGGGCAGGCGGCGCAGCCGCTCACGAACGCGCTGTCCCACCTGATGCAGTTCGTGTGGGTCCATGGCAGCAAACAACTCGTGGTAGGCTCGACGCAGGAAGCTGGCGTAGTCGGGGGAAATTGGCTGCGTCTCACCATGCCGATGGCGGCATTCACCAAGGCGGCCAACGATGGGCGGGGAGATGATGAGGCGACCATCGGGTATGTCGTGGACGAGATTGGAACCGATGATGAAAAGAACCCGGTTGACGGCAATGGAGGGGAGGGCAATCTTGGACATGTTGCGAGCCAGGGTGGAATCGGTGAGGTTCCAAAAGGACTTGACAAACGCCGGATTGCGGCGGCGCATTTGCTCGACAAGGCGCTGGGCCTTGACCTCGGGGTCAAGGGCATATTTGACGGCCGACCAGGCCGAGGAGAGGCCCTTGACAAACTGGTTGTCCTCGGTGCTGTGGTACGCATCGGAGAATGAGGCCATGGCGGTGAGGATGGCTTTCATCAAGTGCTGGATGCCAGATTCGTAATGAAACCCCGCGCGAGCACCATAAAAGCAGGTGACATCCACGCTTTGGCCACAACGAAAAATGTGCTCGGCTGTAGCGTTGCCCTCGATTGTTACAAACTGCTCTCGAGCGGGCAGGATGGCCTGGAGCTCGAGAGTAAGCTCGAGCAAGACATTGAACTTCTAACTCAACAGGAGGGGTGGGGCGAATGCCATTGAGCGTTGCAAGATGCATGAGTATGGGAAAAGGCCGTAGCGGCCCAAAAGCGTCGGATGAAGAGGGCCGGGGTTGCAATTTCACCGACGCGACGAGCACGGGCTTACGCTGAGCATGCGCGCGCCAAAATCCTCAATCTGCTCGTAGACGGCGTCGAAACTGAGGAAGAAATACGACGAGCGCTCCTGTGCACAACGCGCCAGGGCTTCCTACACATGATCAATATCCGTATGAGCAACCTGCGCGCTGGGGAGTATCATGGTGTGGGAGGAGGATGTTGTTGTTGCTGTTGTAGTTGTCGCTTTTACTCTCCCACACTGTTTGGGCTGCATAGAGTGAGTCGGGGCAGGCGGGACGCACTTGAAGTTGGCGCAGGCACTTCCAGACCGACAGAAGAATAGAGCGGAATCCGTTGTGTTTAAATTCGGGATGGATGTCGTAGTCGCTCACGACGGCAGCAAGGCGGTAGCAGCGTGGCTCGAGCTCGACGAGTTCGCTGTGCGTGGCCTTGAGCGCATGGCAGATCTTATTCGTCCGAATCGGGTGCTGGGTGAAGTGATTGATGTTGTCGATGCAGCCTGAATTGACCAGAATGAACGCACGGCCCAGCCACGCGTGTTCTGTGGCTGCCCAGTCCTGTACGCCAACGGTACTGGGCAGGGACTTTGGAGCCTGTGATCGAGGCGGGGGCGTTGCTTCTGGTGCGGCGCCAGGCATCCGGGAGGCCGTGGGCGGTAACGGTAGCACAGAGGGTGAAAGCGGCTTGGCATCAGCAGGCGCTGAAGAAGATTCAGGAGCAGGCAGCTCGTGGCCCTCGGGCGACAAGGGCAGCACTTCCTCCTCTTCCTCCTGCAGCATGACGAATGATTGTGGACCCCAGTGTCAAGCCTCGAATGCAAGGCCAGCCAAACTCAGCTCAGCGTGCCTCGGCCACGCGTCAGCACAACCGCTTGCGAGAGGCAACCCCCTCAAACGCCAACTTCCATGCACACCTCGTCCCCTCCAACAAGATCAAAAGGCCCCGTCAGCAAGGACAGCCGCAGCCCCAGATGCGACCAGCAAGGGACAGCCGCGCCGCCGTCGAATTTTTTTTTTTTTTTTGTGTGTGTGGGTGGGTCTTGGAGGCGTCAGGTGATCAAAGTAAAATACTTTAATTACACGCAAGAAGGAACGGGCAATCGTGGCGATAAGTGAAATACTTTTTTAGTCGATCGTATGTGTGTAATTGTAGCATATAATGATGTTATTGTCGATTTTATAGTGTTCTTAACCTCAGCTTATGCTGTAATTTATCTGGAACGTGAAGTTGTTGACGTTTGATCCCCATCTATCTCACTCTCTCAAACTCTCTCACCACTGACACTCTCTCTCTCAAACTCTCTCTCAACTAAACTCGATCTCTCAAACTCTCTCTCTCAAACTCTCTCTTTCTCTCTTAAACTCTGTCTCTCACTCTCTCTCTCTCTCAAACTCTCTCTCACTCTCTCTCGCTGATCAGCCGAGGTGTTGGTTGCTTCAGTGAGCTGCAAGGAGGAGGCATCGCGATGGCTCGTGCGCTTGCCGTGTTGGGGCTCGTTGCCGTGCTGATGCCGGCACAGGCGCAGCTGCTTCCGCCCATCAGCTCTTTGCCCAGGTGCGAGGGGCGTTTGATGTCTTGGACACAGCTTGCTGCCACCACCGTCCTGAAATCGTGCCTCCCCCCTCCCCTCGCCACCCCTCCTCCGTAGGCTTTCGACGCGCGACGCAGAGCCCCGTGGACGCGCAGAGCGCAGCGCCACCAAGGTCAATGGGCAAGCGGTAAGGCGCATGGAGACGAACAACCAAACAGGGATCGGCAGAGTGTACCTGAGGTGGTCAGAACGCCAATGCCTGCGCTCACGAAAGCATTCTTCTTTTTTTTTTTTTTTTTTTTTTTTTTTTTTTTTTTTTTTTTTTTTAAACCTCAGCTCCTCGGCACCTTTGTGGCGGATTGTGAGGAGAACAACAGCTGGTTTGCGCCGGATGATGTCAAGGCCAAAAACCTCAACGTCAGCTCTGCCCAAACCCTCCGATACTATTACAACTCGACCTTTGTCAGCGATTGGACCGAGTATCTGGCCGCCAGCGACCCTACTGTAAGCACTGGTACTGCACCGCTTCTTTAGACTCTTGCCTTGCCGCGCCTCATGATCGACCTGGGCTTTTTTTTTTCTTTTTATGCGCTTTTTCCGACTCTTGCGCCTAAATCCCCTGGCTGGCATGCAGTGTCGACCAGACTACACAGATGTCTTTGCAAAGTACACGTTCAGCGGCACGTTTGCCAACAAGGGCACCAGCTCGGTCAACAGCAGCTTACAGCTGGCTGAATGGGATCACGATGTCTCTTCGTGGCTATTTCCCGCCACCGATGGTAGTTTGGTCAACTACATCTTGCAGGTCTTGAACCAAGAGTGTCGCTGCGGTAGTGACTGGGTCGCGGGACAGCAACGCACTATCGATGCTGATAAGGATTGCACTCCCGCGGAAATCGCCCAAACTGACGTCTTTTATCTCTGCCACATCGTGCTGGGCCACGTCGGTTATGGCACCTACACATGGGCCAATGAAGACACGTGAGCCATCCCCCAAGCTGCTCTCTTTCCTTTTTTTAATCGCAAAACAACGATCGGCTCGACGCTGCCCTGATGCTCTGTACTGGTATCGCAATCACCCGCACGCCTTTGCAGCTACTTGAGCTCGTACATTGGCTTTGACAAAACAGAGGCGTGGGCCCAAGACGTGGCTTCCCTTGAGCGTCACAAGCTGCCTTGTGAGTCCCCAGCTCTGCTCCAAAGAACTGACAACGTTTCAGCCGCTCACGGTGACTTTGCCCATGGACCCATAGCGGGAGGCAATCACGATGCCGGGGATTGCGATTATGTATGCCGCGCTTTGAGGAAGACTGCATGTTTGCTCTTGCGAGGCGCAAACAGACCTCACCGTGCTTGGGTTGCTCATCACCATTTCTTGCGGCTTGGCGGGGTGGCATGCTCGATCCTTTCCCCCTGCCTCGGAATAGGTGCGCTTCTCTGAGTGTGGCGCCGGTATCAATGACGCTATTTCACACTGCAAGGGCTGCGACGGTCTTGAATGTGATGGTTGCCTCTACCGCGAGCTGCCCGGTACGCCGTTGATGGACCAATGATTCCCAAGATGTCGACAATGCATTGACCTCGCCACTCAATATTGATACCGATGTAATATTTTAGAGGATGTCGATGCCACAGACTTTTCCGACTGCTGCCCGTGCTTCTACTTTTACGGTTTGTCAACCCGTGTGCCTTGCCTGTCTCTGCCGCTTTTTCCCCAAACAAACGTCGTACCATTCTTTAACGGTGATGCATGCATTCCTTTTTTCAGCTGAAAGGTATCAGCAACCGTGGATGGAGCTTGACTGCTAAGCAACACGTGTGGTGTGGCCACCCCACGCAGGGCTTGGGCCAGCCCCTTCCACTTGGCTTTGTTTTATTTTTGTATGTTTGGATCTCTGGTGTGTTTGTGATCGTGCGTTTTACCGAGCGAAAACAAGATGTGGGTCGTGTTGTCTCGTCACGTCCCCAGTCTCCAATTGACCCCTCGGCTGCTGAAGAAGGACCCACCCTTTGAGACAGCATGAGGGCAAACGCTTGCAAAATTGAAATCAACGATAATTTTGATGATTCAATTTGCATTGTGATTTAGCGCGTAGCGCCAAACACGCATTTCGCGTGTGCAAAAAAAAAAAAAAAAGATGATCACATCAGGGTTGATGGCCAGCATCATCCACCATCGTTATCCGAAAATGTCAATCCAGACCACGGCGCCGCGCAAAGCAATGTCACCCGGTGCAAGAGAAGAATAACAGCGAGTACCAAACCGGTAGCTCGAAAATCGAGCCCCGAACTGACGTGGCACTCACACGAAGAGCAAAGCCATTGACACAACCAAGACAACTACACACGTCGAGGACAAATCATACTCAGACAAGGCACGCAATCTGGCTATAGAGCTAAAATAGACCTGATTCAACATCAACCTTTCCTCATAACGGCACTGTGAAGTGGTGACGAAAACAAACAAACAACATACAAGGCTCGCGATGAACAAAAACAAGCAGACACCACCCGTCCACCCCCGGGTCGCAGACCCATTTGCGGATTTACGCAGGCTCGGGGCAGTGGTGAATCAGTCCATTTATGTCCACAAGTCGAGCTCAATAGTCCATTTCAAGCCGCGAATGAAGCGACAGGGGATGCACTGGAGTGTGGCCTCGTCAAAGACGCAATCACACGATGGAAGAGGCCCCGAATTGCAACAGCACTGATGGCGCGAGTTGGCCAACAAGCGACCCATGGTCACTGTTGAAGCGCAAGCAGAAAAATCAAGCGAAACAACGCAAGTCCTTGAGTGAGAAAAAAAAACATGCTAGCAGATAAACGGTCAGAACGGCAAGCAAAAGGGCTGGAGCATAACAGCGGTGGAAAGAAACAAACCGTAGATGTAAAGCTCAAGGTCGTTGTGCGGTTCAATGGCGAAGCGTTGCTTGAATTGCTTGAGGTGAGAAGAGTTGTGCTTGATGCAGGCGAGGCAGAGCGGCCATTTGGTATGCAAAATGCGTTTGCGCAGACACTGCTGGCAAATGCCCTGCTTGGTCTTGACGGCATTGTACTTCTCGCGGCGTTGAGCCAGGAGCTCCGGGGTGGTCATCATTTGCAGCTGACGCAGCTCTTGTAAAGCAGCGGCGAGTTTACGTGTGTATTGACTGAGGCGAGGCTTGAGGCTCTTCAAGGTCTTTTCGCGATCGGCCGAAGTCAAAAGACGGGGTCGAGGTCTAGCCTGCTGTTTGTCTTGTTGCTGTTGTTGCTGCTGCTGGAGAGCACTATTGGCCAGCGCCGTCACCATGTTTGCGCTACCACTCGACGGGTCGTGAGACAGGGTGGCTGATGCAGCTGGCAGGCTGACTGCGGGGATGAGCATCTGCTGCTGAAGCTGCGACGGCTGATGCTGAGCTTGTTGTTGTGCTTGTGGCATGTTCAGCATGTAGTGCTGTTGGGGTACCATGGCGCCGCTCATGGTCATATGCTGGGGCATGATACCCGATCCCATGTTCATCATGCCGGGTTGAGAATAAGCCATCATACCAGGGTGGTGCATCTGCATCATGCCAGGCATGGGGGCAAACATGGTATTAAACTGTTGTTGCTGCTGCTGCTGTTGGTGATGAGGGTGTGAATACGCCGAATACATTTGCATCTGATGCGGAGCCATGCCCGCAGCAAACGGCATGTTCATGGGTTGCATGTGCGTGTGCTGACCCCCCATCATGTTGGACTGCATCAGATGAGGTGCATGATAGGCTGAGGGAGCATGGCTGACCAGGCCTTGAGCCTGCATGGCCTGCGCCTGCATGGCCTGCACCTGCATGGCCTGTGCCTGCATGGCCTGTGCCTGCATGGCCTGTGCCTGCATGGCCTGTGCCTGCATGGCCTGTGCCTGTGCTTGATTGGCAGCCTGTTGTTGGAAGGGCATGTGGATGACGTGACTCGTCGTTGAAGCACCACCACTATGGGCGCGGGAGAGCGCATGTGCTTGGCTGGTAGGAGCCGCGTCTTGATTCGACTTGCTGGGGGTTGGGTTGAAACCTGAGGCATGCGTGGCGTGCGTTGCTTTCGCCTTGACGGGTGGGTTTTGCTCCTTGGTGCTTGGAGCGGTAGTCAACGAGTGATGCACGGGGTGGCGGCTTGACTCCCCTTCCGCCAAGCTGCTCGAGGAGGATGAGTCGCGGCTCTGCTGGTGGGCATGTTCATCGCGTTCACTGTCAACGCTCGAAGAAGAGCTGGCTTTGGACACGGCCACGACGGCTTGATGCCGCGAACTTGCAGTTGAGGGCTGAGGGGCTCGTGGCTGGGGCTGGGATGGGGTGATGTCCGAATTTGAAAAGGTGGGGTGAGGGGCGTTGGCGGCCTGTGGCTTAACAATGGGCACCGGTAAGCTGGGCGTGTGGGCGGTGCTGTTGGTGGCCGTGTTGTTGTGGCTGGTCGGGCTGTTGAGGCCATTGCTGTGGCCGTTGCTGCTTGTCACACTGTGATGCCTATTGTTGGGCTCGACAGCAGATGGCTCGCCTGTGCTGGGCAAATGGCCATGGTTTGGACTGTTTGCCTGGCTCTTGTCGTGGTCGAGCGCCTTGATGAGGGTCACGCTGGGGCGTGCTTGCGCGAGTTCTTTGTCGGCGGCGGTTTTGGCGAGAAGGGTCAAGTCCTCTAGAGTGGTGCTGGTTTGGCAGGTTTGCGTTCGAACCTCCTTTTTGGGTCGGCTGCTAGACTTGTGGCCTTTATGGCTTTTGTGAGCCTTGTGACTCTTTTGACTCTTGTGGCTCTTGTGGCTCTTGCTGACCCGGCCAGAATTGTACACCGTTGCGGAGATGCGTTGATTGTCAAGCTCTGATTCAGGTGATCGGGCCAACGCGGGACGTTGAGCCATAGGGGTACCCATGCTGCCCGCGTCTGAGGCCACGCGCTTGGCCATGATGCTGCAAGCCCCACCAGGCGAAAACAACCAACCGAGAAAATGAGGTGTACGAACGATGAATTGAAACCAGAAGATCAGACTCGGAAACGGAAATGGTGTCGCGCCGGCAAGAAATGGAGGAAGGAAGGCAGGAAGGAAGACATGATGCGCGCCAACCAAAAGGCTCTGTCGTACCTGGCGAGGGCGGTCGAGCGAGCGCGCTAATGTGGCGCAGGCCAGAAGTTGGGATACGCTCTTTACGCTCTTTCTGGATCGGGCTGTTTGATTGATGAGGCACCAAGCTCGCTTAGCCAAAACGCGTCGAGAAAGAGCCCCTTGGCGAGTGAAAGACTGGGACAACGTCTCAATCGCGGCTTGCGGTCAAGCGAAGAGATTCGAGCCTCGAGGGCCGACAAAAATGGTCGGCGACCAATGTAGACGGCAAGGAGGCGCAAGGCGCTCAAGTTCCCAAAGTGTGATGGTAAAAGTGAACGAGAGCAAGAGAGGGAGGGAGCGAGAGAGAGAGAGAAAGCGAAAGAGAGCGGGAGAGAGCCAAAGCGGAGAGAGGGGTACGGGGCACGGGGTACGGGGCACAGGCAGAGAGCAAGGGCATGGACGGTATACTCGGTCCAAGTGTAGCTGTTAAGGGAAAAATGAAGGTTTTGAGATGGTGAAGGGGTGGTGGTGGTGGTGGAAAGAGAGGGGGCTGGTTTAAAGCGTCAAGGTGGAGACGTTATGATATGGGGCAAGGGCTGCTCGACGACCGCGCTCGAGAGGGCAAAAACAGAGCACATATGGGAAGGCGGGGGGGATATGGATCAAGCCGCTGGTCGCGCGGCGCTGCCGTCTTGTACCCGTGTGTGTGTGTTGTGTGTGTGTGTGTGTCGCGGGACCGGGGAGGAGGTGTACGGAGGCAAGAGGGAGCCCCACTACCTCTCACCCTTTGGAAGGTGTGGTTAACAAAAAAAAAAATCTCGAAGAATGAGGATGCAGGCCGGATGTGAATCGTGAGGTGTCGTTGCCAGCGTCGAGGGGTTTTATGGGTGTGGGTGATGTGGGTTTGTGGGTGTGAGAACCTCGCTGTGTGGGTTTTGGGGGCTTCACTTCGCCTCGTGTTGTTGTGTTTGTGCAACCTCAACAGGTTCATATGATCTTTCAGATCAAGGGGATGTGAGGTTGATGCACGATGCCACGTACGGACAGACGGCGCTTCTCGCCTGTCTCCATGCCTGCTCGCTGGCTGCTCCTTCAAGCGAAGAATCAAGACTCGATCACAATTGGCCTCCTTCCTTCGATTGGTTAGGGTTAGGGTTAGGGTTAAACTCCTTCCGATACAGGTAAATCGTCGAAAAAACTACAACGTGCTCAGGACAAAGACACCAACAAAGAGGTGAAAAGCATCCCATCGCATCCCACCGACAACTTATTGTTACGTGTACTTTTAAAGTTGTGTACAGGGGGCAGGCATCACACGAGAGAGAGTAATGGGGGCTGTGGGAAGAAACCATGCAGAATTGTCGTCGTCCGGCTTTGCATTGCGCCTGCGAAGCAGAGGGAGCCCACACAAGTAGGGTAAATGTGGGTGTGGGTGAGCTGGGGGGTATGATTGCATGCTGCACGGATGCGACCCACGATTAGACCTCAGGATGCTGCATCACAACCACATGTGAAATCACAATAGATTTAAACGCGCAAATGAACGTCACAGCTATTCAAAAGCTGGGTGAGGATGCTCGTCATCATACGGATGCTCATCATCGTCGATCATGACATACACATCCCAAGCCCCACAGAGGTGTATCGACCCCTTTTCCCCCCTCCCGGCTCGCAGCACCTCTCACTGCTTTCGACACTGTGTGGGCCATTCTCATCCCTCACTGATTTCGCGTATCGTGTCGGCCGACCGGACGGACGGACGGACATCATGGCCGGCGGTGCCGCGGCGGTGAAGACGGTCCTGGCCTCGGCCCTGGTCTTGGTGCGATCCTTGCCGACCAGCCGTCGCTTCTTCGAGACGGGCCTCAACTTGCCGGTCCTGGCCTCCTCCGAAAATCAAGTCTTGCTCGATGCCGGCGCTACCCAGCTCGTCCTCCGTGAGGTGCCCATGGGGTAAGTCAAGGCATCAGCCCCTCGCTGTACCGGGAGAGCTGTGGTGGCAAACGGAGGGGCATGCTGCTGGTGGCCTGAATGTCGTACTTCTTGACCGCTTTGTGGTTCTCGCCTGATCAAACGCCAAGGCAAGAGGCTGTGTTGTCCAACGGCTATTCGCCCTTTCTCAACTTTGAAGTCGCCGACCTGGACACGACCATGTACAGCCTCCTCGAACTCGGTGCTCATCTCGATGGCCGCATCCTCTACGAAACGGATCACAAGGTGGGTCAACCCCGACACCGACTTGCAATGCGCCCGCTGCTTCTGCTGCTGCCGGACCGGGGCAACAGCAGGCCAACGCCCCTTCAGACCTCGACGCCTTGCCCCGCTATCACTCACACGCCAATCATCTACCCC